AAAGTAAAGTGAATGTGGTCTCAGCCGTTTATTACGTAAATTAACAGTCTCATGATCCTTTAATGTTATTGCATTATTGAGCATCCGGTATAGTGTATTGTATTGTGGCCAAGTTCAATGTGTTATAGCAAATCAGCGAAAACAGGTAAGAAGTGGGTTGACCTCGTTTTCGTAATTTGGTCTTGTTGTCAAGGCGACTTAGTAGAACGCACCTCGTTCGTAGTACTCTCCCCACATTCGCATACGTTTCGCCGGCATCGTAGTCGGCATCATCATTCTCAATTCTCCGCACCAAGCTACGAACTCGTCAAAGAGACAAATGAAGTCAACTCCTCGACAAACGTTCTGCCGAAAACGGTTACACTATCACTCCTCCTTCTGTCCTCGCTTATCTATACACTCTTTACCCTCTCATCCCATTTCCGCGCTATCACAACTTATCACTTGTTTACTTTCCACTCGTCAAGAGATGCACCCTTTCATGGCAAAGTTAATGTGGCCTCATCACACTTGCTATTCACCCGACCCCCTCTCTTTCGATCGGCTAATCCGACTCGGGCCTACAATCCGGATCTCCCTTATCTTCCCGAAGATCCGTTCCTTATCTTCCTGGTTGACCGATTTCACTCGGTTCCAGTGCCAGTGTGCTTTTTACTCCAGGCGCTGTTTCTCAAGCCCTTAGAAGTACGTACAGTGTCGCCTCACCAAGCAAAACACCTAGGCTCTGGTTGCCATGGTTGCAGATATCAGGCCTTCACTTCACGGATCGTCTCCTTGATTAAACCCATGTTATTTGAGCAAACTGTGGACACCTATCTCTGGTCGCATGCGGCATCTTAAGTGGATCTCTAGTACATTTTGAGCATAACGTCGAATTTCTGTGACGGTTTTCTTATTCGTCCTCCTAGCCCCCTTACTGCCAGGCCCCCAAAGTTGTACTAGTTTATTCGAAGCGGACATCACTCACTGACTACGCATTCGCTTGATTTCCGAAACTACCCGCCCCCACTTTCTTTATCGCGATCCCTTTTCCCCCGGTTAGCGATAGATCCCTGATCCAGGTGTCTCCTTTTTGCTGATCTTGCTCCATTCTGGTTTTCCCGAGTTTGCAAAGTTATCGGTAACTCTGCCTTCCTCCAATCTCCTGTTCGTTAGATTTGTCTCCCCAAGGATGTCAATGGCCTCCGTAATCTTCCGCTTCTTTATGTTGTCATCGTATGAAAGTGGTTCCTAAACTTTTCCTATTCAATAAAAATGTTTTCAGGGCGCCCTACCCTAAGTATGACTATTCGTAAGTAAAAGATTTAAAAAAATCGTGTATCTTCATTATTTTTTTACTTTATTAACATTTAATTAATATTAAATAATTAATGTGATGGATGAGCTTGCAAATCACTGCACATTTTCTCAAATGGAAGATTTTACAATATTTCGCGGCGCCCCTGTTAAGAGGCCACGCCGCAAATTTTGGGAATCACTTTCGTATGGGGTTCTTCTTTCTGTTGCCTTCCAATTGATCCCATGTCCAGTCTATGCAATGTATTCCGTTAGTTCTGATCTTTCGGTATCCATTTTCCTACAGAGCCTTTGATGTTCCTTGATTTTTAGTCTAATTTTCCGTCTTGTTTCGCTAATATATTTCTATTCACAGGCGCCGTATGCTATGCTGTAAACTCCTGAACGATCCAATTTGTCCACCCTTTCATGTTACGTCGGTAGACTTGTGAAAAATCTTGTCTTTTCCGTTTATGGTCACCGGAATATGCCATTTCCTTAATATTGGCCGTATAACCACTTTTATGAATCCCTCTCCGTCCTTAATGTTCTTTCATAGTCCCCGTTCTGGCATCGGCTTTTCTCGGCTCGTATGTTTCTTTGTATCACTTCGCCAAGGTAGCCATTGCCGAGGAATATCATAATCAATTTGTCCAACTCCTTGTCTCAGAATTCTACATCCATTAGGCGTAGGATTCGGATGATCATGCTCCTCGTTATTCCAACCTTTAGCCTGTAATTGTGATAGAACCAAAAATTGAGTATTATTCCAGCATAAGACTTCTTTCTGAACAATTTCTTTTCAAGATTCCCATTATAGTAAATCACTTCAACATCCAGGAACGGTAACCGCTCATCTTCCTCTATTTTCATCTAGAATTTTATTTTTTCCATCAATCTAGTTTACATACTTCAGAAAATCTTCCAGTTATTCTCTTCCATGTGGCCAAAGTACGAAGTTTTCATACAGGTACCGTATGAGCACTGTTGGTTGTAGCGATGATACCTCAAAATCCTCCTCTATTTTGTTCATGCATACACTTGCCAAAAGTGGTGAGAACGGCAATCCTATGGTAAGTTCAAATATTTGTTCATAGATGGTCCCGTTGAATGTAAATTAGGTTGCCCTTATTGTCAAGTAGATTAGTCTTGTCAACGACTCCCTACCGATCCGTTGTGATTGCAGGATATCCTTCTCTCGGTCCAGGATTTCCAGCAGGGCTGATAGCGCATTTTCTCCAGCGATAGTTGTATACATGGATTTTTCATCAAAACTTGCCAATAAGTCTGCTTCTTACAGTGCCATGTTTTTGATATTTGGGAAAAATTCATATGAATATTTCATCGTGTTTGATAGCCTCTCAGTTAATTTCTTGAGTTTAAAATATATGAGCTTTACTCATTTGTGTGTTGCTTCATACTTGTTGACTATCAGCCTTGGTGGTTCGCATTCTTTGAGTATCTTCAGTAATCCTTAGGCTGTTGGTGGTCGCGCCTTCTTTCCTATGAACAGATCTTTGAGAAAATGTAGGAGATCCGGATTGGGGTTTTGCATCTCGCTGGGGAAGTGCATTTATTTTTCACTTTTCCAGTTCTCCACTGTTTACGCATTGTTGCATAAGACCCTTGTGTCTGACCTTAAGGCCTTTGTCGGGTCCCTTATCATAGTCTTATATGTTGTATCATTATCTAAGGCCTCTACCATTTTCTGTACATAATCAATCTTACCCATAACTACTACTGCTTCTTCTTTGTCTGCCCTTAATACTAGTTGCTCGTTCTCCTTAAGCTTCCTTATAATAGTCTGAATTGTCCTATTCTGATATGGTGTTTCTACATGACCATCAATTAAAAGGGACAGCTTGTAGTTCAATGTCACTCCTAATCTCGTCTGGGAAACTATCCGTTAAACTTATCAATTCTACCAAGTGTTCCTCTTTTAAATCCTTGGAAAGGCGATCGTATGCTAATTTCTGTGTGATAAAACAGCTGCCACCGAATGCATTTACGATTCTGAAAGTTAACTTCACTCATTTGCAAGAATGTAAAGTAAGATTGAAGTAGCCATCCAAAACAAGAGAGACCTCATTAAGATGGCGATGTTGAGTTTATAAAAAAGTGACTATGGTCGCAGATTGCCACCTTCTTCTCTTGGTTTAGTATATTTTTTATCTATTTCGTAAATTATGGAATCTTGCTCTGATGATGTCTGTCACGGTTGTACAGACGAAAGCTTAGCATAGTTTCATCAGGGTCGCAGGACGGTGAGCCGACGACTTCCTCGCAGGATTCGACAATCCTCCTTCAGTTTCCGGTGAGACGACATCACGAATTCCTTCCAACTAACTTTCCCTTAGAAATGGCTAATCATGCCACAAGTTAGAAGCATCAATGAAGGGACAAGTTGAATCCTCTTCTTTTAGATGGCGTTTTAACGCCCTTTCTCTCATTCAATCCATCAATCCAGCATATATACACACACAGCCTTCCACCCGCGTTGCTCACATTCAACATATGTCCTGATCTTTTAATTTCAATAGTCTCTCTTATATTCCTTTCAACAGCAGATGAACCATAATAAGTTATTC